AAGTTTGCTTTCTATAACTTGATGGAGACAATTTGTGTTCCTTGTCATACAAGGCAATGCTTCACCATTATGTTTCTATTCTAAAACACAGCAGTGAAGAGAAGAAAAAAGGTGAGTTTTCATTTGGACTGTACAGAAAAACTAGTCAAGTCTTGGGGCTTGGGAGATGGGTATGGAGGAAACAAACAACATCATCCAAAATACTGCCTGTATGCTTAGAGAAGCTATTTTTCATATTAAGTGTATTGGAAGTAATTATACATGATACTCAGTGTACTGGAAATAATTATACAATATTATGYGTGTAGGCAGATATTATACAATGGTGGTTTGTCTTGAAGTCATGTTTTAGGTGATGTGCAAATGAACACTTCTGCATGTGATGCTGTCAACTTTAGAATGGCTTAGCCCTCTACTATGGATCACCCCACACAGCCAGAARACAAACATTAGAACTGGAGGGGAAAAAGCTTCAGCTGAAGGTGGTGCACACCTCATGAACAGAGCTGACTTGTCACACTTATGCTAAAGATTATGGTGTGGGAAAAGAGTTTACATCTTTATCAGTTTAACTGGTGCAGAAGGAAAATATCGTGAATTTCTGTCATAAAGAATGTATCAGCTCTACAGTTGATAGGATTAAGCACACAGGACTGGAAGTAGAGCAGATATTTGCACTAAAATAACACAAAAAGGAGCTGAATTCAAATATTGAGAAAGACAAGACACTGAAAATGTGTTTTTGAATTGCAGGTCAAAGAGTAGCATTAGTGGTCAGCTGAAGAGCACAGACTGCATAATAGCAGCCTGCRATATAATAAAGCTGATCTTAATTTCAGAATTTTGTGTATGTTGCTGGAAATGACCATTATATACCAGCACACTCAAAGCAGCTGGGATCATACCCAATCCTTCCAGAAAAGTTTTTCAGCAACACAATGCTCTTGCTGTCGACCAAGTGAACCGAGAGCATGGACCCTAAACAATACAGACAGATTGGCACAGATTCATGAGATGACAGTGTTAACTTTGATACAAGAAGGTTTCCTCCAGACCCAGGCTCACTGCCCCAAGAGCCAGAAAGGTGTTGACACAGCTTATGGCTATCAGGTGCTACTTGTCACTGGCAGGACTCCTCAGGTGCTTCAGTTCCAACTGAAAGCTGTGGAAAAGCTGAGGCTGGGTGCCAGCACAGCAGCACCAACACAGAATCCAGTATTTTGGTGCAATTGCCCTCAAACATGCAGGGCAGTGCATGAAGTCCCTTTGTCCCCCTCAGATCTGAAATAAAGTACACAACTCGGCTTTCACAATGAGGAATATGCCTCATCAGACTCCCATTGCCAAGTGTGCGACTTTTGGCCTCTTGATGTTTCAAAAACAAAAAATGCTGTGGGATTGTTTTAGCTAGAAGCAAGGATTGTCTTATCCCTCTAACTCAACCATCTCCAGATCTMCAATAGTACCAACAACAGCATTGCTTTCAATCAGGCCAGCCCTTACAATGTGAGCCAAAAACATGAGGTTTTTCTTTAAAAATCATGAGCTCTTAATTTTAATGACTGCTTGTTCTTGTTCTGTCAGGGTTGCCCTTTGTATAGAAACTTATGTCATTAAAAATACTTTTATTTTTACTTTAATATTTGATATCTTCCACTAATGCATTTTAGTTTTGTTCTTCTAATATCTTGGGAGCTTATGCTATCCTTTAGGCACCTCATATCCTGGAATAGACAATTAAGCAGTTCCTGTCAGTATAGTCATTTAATGAAATACCTTATAATACAGTTCATCCATTAGTGGGCTATATCACAATTTAAATACCTTACTAATTCTCAAAGCTTATCCTACCACATACCAGCCCTGTTTGTCCCAGAGGCYTGCAACAAGCCCTGTGCATGTAACAACGAGGGTCCAGGAGTAATGAATTTCTGCTTCTCAGCKATGAGACTTTCCCTTCACATTAACGCCCCACTGCCTTTTGTCTATTCATTTAGCAAACACTTAGCACTGACAGGCCTTCCTACTTTTTATCATAATGCAAAGCACATGCCTTGACAGGCCCCTGTATCCTCCTTCCTGAGACAATGCCATTCCAACTCTATCCAGAACAATTCCCCGGTAACAACCTCATTTTTAACATCTTCACAAGCTGGGACYGTGCTTGGCACCACAGGATGTGTGCTCCGCAGCCGAGGAGATGCAGAGGAAGGAGTCTCTGGAGGATGAGGTCTGACCTCTCTGGATCTCACCCACTCTGAGCATCATTTTTTCCCCGTGCTCTGATCTGTAAAATACACAGCAGTGTTCACACACCGTCCGCGCTTTGGGGCCTTTCAGTCAGGACCTTTATTTTGGCGCTTTCAGGCCCACAAGGGTCCCTTCGCACCAGAACAGCAGSGCAGCAGACGCGCCCCATGGTGTCCCGGCCGGCCGAGGGACACTGCACCGCCGCCATGTCGCCTCGCGCAGGCGAGCGCCGCCTCCTGCCCCGTGCCCGGGGCGAGCGCCGGGCGTGCGGAGAGCGGCGCTCASAGGCGCTGCCGGCGCCGCGGCTGCCCGGGTTTGCTTACCCGGGGACGTCCCCGCCCCTCGTTCCCCGACAATCCGCGCCGAAAGCGCGCCGGGAGCGCCAGGCCGCGCTCAGCCCCGTGCCCAGCGCGGCGGGGCGGCGCCTGCCGGCGGAAAGTGCTGAGTCACGGCCTGACGCGCGGCCGCCGTCACGTGCGGCCCGGGCTCGGTCCCGCCGCGGCACGGAGCGCACCAGCGGCACCGAGCGCACCCTGCACGGGCGCACTCGCTCCGCTCCGGCTCCGGCTCCGCTCGCCTTCCCGGCCTCCCCGCCGGCATGGGGCTGCTGTCGCAGGGTTCGCCACTGAGCTGGGAGGAGACCCGGCGGTACGCGGAGCACGTGCGGCGGCACGGCATCCTCCAGTTCCTCCACATTTACCGCGCCCTGCGCGACCGCCACAAGGACGTGCTCAAGTGGGGCGACGAGGTGGGTGAGACCCCGGCTGCCGCGGCCTCTTCCGCGGCCTCCGCCGAGCCTTGGGGCGGGCGCAGGTGCCGCTCCGGTGCGGGCCGTGATGCCCCGGGCGGGCCCGGCCGCTCGGCCCGGTCGCTGGGCGGGAGGGGACGTTGCGGGCTGCCCGGCGGGGCTTTGTTTACCTCGCGAGCACACACGCGCTCGCCGCATTTCCTTGCGCAGCACGGCTGCCCCGCTATTACCCGCGGTTCTTAAACGCTACAACAACTTTCAGTGTTTACGCCTGGCACCAGTCGGTTGCCSGGGCAGCCCCTCGGCAGTTGTATTCCCTGGGCGGTGATGCTCGGCAGCACGCGCTTTTTCCCCGGAGTTTGTTTGTGCTCTCTGGATGAGTTTGAGTAAAGCAYGTCTATGCCTCGAGTCCAAGGCAGTGTCTGCTCCGACTCACACTCAGTTTTGGGGTGGAAAGTGGGGGAAGCAGGACCGGGGGTGGGCGGGCGACTCTGCAGTGGCGGCTCTGTCCTGTATCCCTGTGGAAAGGGACCTGCCGATCGCTGCTTTACCGCAGAGTTTTCTGGGCGTTTGGTGCGTGTCAGCCTGCCTTCTGAACAAGGATCAGGGTGATCGCTCGGGTCATGACTTGAACTTTGTTACAGGTGCTTTGTGCCCGAGGACCGTAACTTTAGTCACACGTCTTGGATGTGTTGCCTTGTAAASTTGCGTTCAGTTGTGCCACAGCGTGACAGCACTCTGCTCAAAGCAAAGCCTCCTCTGTTGATCAGCTCCCCAAGAGACAGGGAGCAGCTTCACATGTGCACTAGAAGCTGTCCTTGTCCGTGGTGTTGGTGAGGTGCAGTGTTGGGCACTTGGAGGTGTCATAGATGTGGGTGCACATCTTCCCCTTCTTCCARGGAAGTTGGAAGAACAGTAATGGGGGGACTTGGATGCGGGGGCTTGGCCATTGCATCTCTGTCTCATGCAGAGTTTGCTTTCTGAACGGCAAAGGTATTTGTGAGAAAACTTTATTCAGGTAACAGCAGGTGTTCACAGGTGCTAGGTGCTCTTTGTCAGAGGAAAATGTTATTCATTCACCGTATGCACCTTGAGAAAGCTTGTCTCTTCAAGTCTGTTCTTTAAATGAACCCCCTTTATAATTCACTTAACAGGAGGGCAAGTGTCAAYGCACAGGAACTGCTTCTATGAGCGAGTGGGGGCTTGGCTGCTAAAACCTATTTAATGAAAGCATGTGTAGGCTACACTGCAGGTTTTTGCAGCTAGAGTGGTGTGGACTCAGGAAATATACTTTTATGTATCCCTGTCTGATGCTTGTGTTCCCACATGTCTTGTATGACTGAAGTCACACTGACAAGAGTCTCACAGTCTTGAGTCCAGGAATATAGGTAGTCTTCTTCCTGTTGCTCTGACACTTAGCTTGAGGGTTTCCTCATTAAACTTTTAGAGATGGTACTCATTTTTCAATGGGTGTTAGATTTTAGTTCTCCTTGCTTTCTCAGAGTGAGATTTCACAAGATAGCTAAGGCTGATCCACTAGCAAGCTTCTCTCCCTGTGTTCCAGGCTCATATTTCTGCTGTCTGCCTTGTGTCGATCCTGTCCATCGGAGTTCAAAAAGTTAACCCAGCAGATAACTCTTCTCCATTCAGTTTTTAGGGTGGTTGGTTTTGTCAGCAGAGCTTCAGCTCTTGCACTGGACCCAGTAATCTGTGCTTAATGTGAGGAAAGTAGGATTGTGGAGGAAAGTGTCAAGTACAACCAGCCCCCGCTGCCCCTGCAGCTGATCACTTAGTAATCTTAGATGTATGATGAGACTGGACTCTGGGAGCCTCATTCTTCCTTTGGCCTGGRGAACCGTGCTGAAAAAGGTGTTTGTGCTCAGTAAATAGTTATGTTAAAGGAGATTCACAGTTTTCTTCTACCATGCATGGCAATAGTCAGGATTTTAAGAGCAGAATCATTACAGACATGGTTTTGAGAAGGAGGTAAGAGCTGTGTTAGAAATGTCTATGGACATTGAGAGTCAGGTAACCTGGTTCATTTTCTACCTCTGCATTTTAACAAATGCTAATAAACTCAGATGTGGCAACTTTGTTCTACTGGGTTATGCARTTATATATTTTTATGTAACACAGCATTTAGGAGTGTGTTAATGGATCAGGTACTTGTAGCCAGTCTGCTCTTGTGCAAACACAAAACCATACCTCTGTCCATAACTTACTTAAGCTGTGCTGTGGATAGACTAATGCAGAGGACAGTACATTTATTTTCCATTTTCCCGGTCAAATATCTAGTTAGAAGGTAGCACCACATTTATAGGCAGCTTAGATGAATCAACTAATTGAACTGTTTTCATAAAAAGCCTTTTATGCACTTTGACYTTCATGTATAAAGTCATCACCTGAGGGTGTTTAATTGTTTAAAAACTTATTGAAGATAATAATCAAGAATGAAGGTAATAGCCCTCATGTACTGGTAGAGATAAAATCAGAATAAACAAAATTACTTCTGTGTTCAAGAGATGTTTCTGTGACTGTGTTTAGTGAAAAATGTATTTTGTATTTTTTTTTTAAGGAATGCTTATGAGAAAAAACCCAGCTTTAGTAGCACATACTGAGTTTGTCTTTCGGGGCATATAAAGTTTGTCCCCCATGTAGGTGATGCCATTATGAAAAGGACATATTGTGTTTGTTCATGMGTGTAGATACCAGCCTTCCTTTGATTTTGTTTTCAACGGGACTCCCACTTTTCAGTGAGTGTTATAAGACTCTACAGACCTGTGGGAGTCATTTGGGATACTTGTAGCCTCCTAGGGACTCCATTCCCTGGTGTTCCAAGGGAGTGAAACTCTGGGGAATCCTGTGCTGTTTCTTGKATGCCAGACAGAAGTGTTAAGGCTAAGTGCTAACAGAGCACGGTGGTGGCATCTGTTTTGAAGGGAGTGAGACAGCATCACAGCTTGTATTGCGGGGTAGCACTCCCTAGTGCTCCCGTCCTCTCCTGAGTAAAGAGCTGGAAAGGTCAGAGCACTGGTTCTGCAGCCTTTTTATTGCTTTCAGGGTTAACAGAAACAAGAGCTGTTGTCTGTTTTGGGGTAAGTTCTTTTTCACTGTTTTCTGCCACCATGAAGCCTTTGCAATTGTGAAAAACAAAAGCCAACAAAATAAGAGTTTAACAGATTAAGACTTGCTTTAAAAAAGCTTTCTAAAGGTTACCTTAAGTCTGTATTTTCAGGTAAAGGTCCTCTGCCTCTTAATCATCCTTTTACCTCATTTAAAACTGGCAGTTGACCTCCCTTTTTATGCTTGACTTCTTCKGACTGTGGCGAATACAAAACAGTGAGCTATCTCATTATCCCTCATCAAACCCTGCCTTACTATCCTTCCCTTGATGCACACAAAGTTTGGGCAACAAATACATCTGCTGGTACAACCCTGTCATGCTAACAAGTACAGTGTCCTTGTGTTCTTGTTTTGTCATCCATCCAGTAATGTGCACTTGACTTTGGGATTGCAGAGTTTTGATCATTATTTATTTTTTTATTTTTGTGCAGCAGAATCAAAAACCTGCAACTTTTCCATAATGTGTTTCAGAACTCCAGTAGAATTAGCAGATACTAGCCTAGCCTGCTGCTTCCCAGCTTGTGTCCCAGAAAGCCCTCTTCTGTGCCGGTGCATTATTAGTCTCCGGTGCTGTTTAGTGCCTCTTGTCTGCTGATTGCATTCCTCTAACTGAMAGACATTGCTTAAATTTCACTTTGGAGCTTTATGCGGACACTGGGATCAGACAAGTGGAATGGCTGGCCTTTGGCAAGGCTCACTGCTGCTACTTTGTGCTGAGCATGCACAGAGTCACAGCATTTCACACTGAGCTACCGATACATASGTGTCCATACSTGCACATAACACTTGTCTTCCACTGTCTGTAAAGACTAAGGGGGAGTTGTTTCAGCTTAAGAAAATTTTGAGAAAGGCATGCCAGAGGGAGAGCCCTCCGAAGGAAGGGATGTAGAAAGCAAGCATGGGCAAAACATGACAGTTTTGTTTTAAAGTACATGTGAATGAAATAGGAATCTTGACTTGCTCAGCCTTGTTTAGTGAAATTGGACATAATGACCCTTTTGTTGGGTATGAGTCTTGTTCCCATCAGTTTGAGGACCTCTAGTGCATAACAAGCATCTACAACCTTGTAAAAGTTGTTTTCTTAATGGAARCTTGAAGGGAAATTTGGGCGCCTTTAAATAGATTTTATAATGCTGTGTATGAGGCAGCATGAAAAATGTACCACTGCACTGCATGCAAGATGAAATCTTGCTGAATTAATTCTAGTTTGGCTTTAGTTGTTTCTTTCCTTTTCTTTCTCAGTCATTTTTAAACTTCTTTTGATCTTTCACTTGTACACTCAATTCATTCTCCTCCTTATCCTTTAGTTTTTTAATGATACCTTGTAAATAAGTTAATTGAGAAGTAAAATGAACATGTGCTAATCMGCAATCAACTTCCTCGTGCAAGAAGCAAAGCAGCCTTTCTCACGTGCAGTGAGAGGCCATGGTTTTCTTACCAGCATGTCCCAAAGGCGTTGCCTCTGATAAGAAGATGCATGACTCTCATGAAAGCCTTCTCCTTTTCCTTAATGAAAGGCTAGGCKTTTAAAAGTGCTGCATTTCCTTTTGAGTGA